TTTTTTTTTTTTTTTTTTGTTATCAGAATGATGAATTGACTTTGCCTGTTGCTGAAGATTTTCATCTTCTTAATGCATTGCAGATATGTCTAATGGGCACAAACTGTCAGGGTCTGGCAGTAGCCCATCCCAGCCAAAAACATTTCCTCCTGGGGGGATTTCATCAGCTTCAAAATATGATGGTCTGCTCCTCACTGTGGAAAATGTTAAAAAGCTTGAGGAAGAGTGTACAACTCCTAAAGAAGTCCTTGTTAACCAGAAGGTGGAGGAATATATTAAGCAAACTAATCTCTCTTTGCTGGAGAGAGCAAGAAGCAGAAATACTAGTAGAGAATTCATCCTAGATGAAACCGATCCTGAAGGAGTTGCTTCTCCAACAGAGCCGGATGAAAAAACTGGGAAAACGCATGGGAAAACCACTAAAGAAATTTCAAAAGCAGGCAAGTCATTAACAAGCATTTTGACTGAGAACGGAGTTTTTATTATCCCTTTAAATATACATTCAGACATAGGTATCTCGGATATACGTTGGAGAGCGGTTTTCAAAAACACTTTCCCCAGGAAAGATAACTGTAAAACCCCCTTTAACTTAAGTCAGAACAGGTAGACCATATCAATCACTTCAGAAAATCCCAAACTAGGGGCAACTACATCCTGGTGTCCATTAACTGCAGGTGCCCAAGTTTGAGAATTGGTCCCAAAATTGCTACATAAACAGATGGGGTTTTTTCACCAGTTCTAGTCAGTAATGTGGATGGTTAGTTTTGAAATCAGGTTCAGAATTAATCTAAACTCAAGTCTGAATTGTATCTATAGGCCATATAGGAGGCTTAAAAATTCCTGCTGAAGTACGATTTCATCAGTGAGCAGAGTAAGGCTGAGGAAGAGTGCTTTTGGAAATCCTATCCTATACATATCAGGAGTTAAACTGACACCTCTGAATTTATGGGGCCTTTGAAATCCAGATTGGAATTTGTGGCTAATGCCTGTCTTCAGCAGCCAGAGGGATAAACTGCATGCTAACATAATACATTTAATAAAAGATGTATCTAAATGGACACTTAATAAAAATACAAATATCTAAATCTAACTATAATTCTTCACATTATCCTCTGCTTCTAGCAGCATTCCACTGCTTCTCAGATGGTTCAGCTAGCATTACCAGGCAGATACCAGAGGGAGGGAGAGTTGTTCATCTGCATTTATTTTTTAAAGTAGTCTTTAAAATCAGAAAAATCAAGTTTACAATACATCTGTACTGCCCACCATGGGTTTGCTTCAGCACCAGTGTCATGCTGCTTTAAACACCTCTTATTAGAGTCCCCATTATATGCTCTCTTGGGTATATTTAATAGTTTGTCTTTAAAACTGCTAGTAAGAAATACCTAACTATGAATCAAATTCTCCTCTCTCAGACTGGTGTAAAGCAGGAACTCAGATGGATTAATGCACAGGCCAATGGGACGTAGGCCAATCAGAGGACCTGCTTGCAACTCACTCCTCATCAGCAAGGAAGCGAAAGCCACAGTTTTAAACTTGGTGCCATTTTTATCTCCCCACTGCTGATTGGCTGAAGGGCCCCAGCGGCCCTGCTGCTTGCTGTCGACCAGCGGGGAGACAAAAATGGTGCCAGGTTTCAAACCAGAGCTTTCACTTCCCTGATGATAAGTGAGCCACAAGCTGGGCCCCTCCACCAGTCAGCAATGGGGGGAGGGCCAGGGCTGGGCTGGGCTGGGCTGGGCACATCACACCTCTCTGGGCTGCAGGCGGGGGTGGATGATGGCAGTGCTGGGAGGGGTGGCTATAGTGGGGTGAAGGTGAATTTTGGGGTGGCTATAGCCCCCCAAACTCCCCCTGAGCTCTGCCTCGGTACATGTGCATGGCTGCACATGGCCAGGAGGACAGCCAGGCAGCTGGTTTCCTGCAAGTAAGTCTAATGGGGGAAAGGGGCGTGGGGGAGAGGGGGCATGGGAGGAAGATCAAGGCACCCATGGTGAGGGAGGGAGTGGGACAGGGGCTGAGGCTGAAGGTGCTGCCCAGCCAGGGTGGTAAATAGGAGCCCAGGGCCTGGGCAGGGAGCTGAAT